TTAAATTAAATTAAATTAAATTAAATTAAATTAAATTAAATTAAATTAAATTAAATTAAATTAAATTAAATTACAATACAATACAATACAATACAATGACTTGCCTGGATAAATAAAAGTTAATGTAATATTTAAAGTAATACAATGTTTATTTATGGTTTTAGTTTTAAATTTTTAACTTTAAATAACTATAACTTACTTATATATAGTATACTATACAGTGGGTACGGAAAGTATTCAGACCCCCTTCGATTTTTCACTCAGTTATATTGCAGCCATTTGCTAAAATCATTTAAGTTAATTTTTTTCCTCATTAATGTACACACAGCACCCCATATTGACAGAAAAACACAGAATCGTTGACATTTTTTTCTTTTTTAATAAATCTGCAAAAATGTCAACAATTCTGTGTTTTTCTGTCAATATGGGGTGCTGTGTGTACATTAATGAGGAAAAAAAATTAACTTAAATGATTTTAGCAAATGGCTGCAATATAACAAAGAGTGAAAAATTGAAGGGGGTCTGAATACTTTCCGTACCCACTGTAACTATAAGTTATCTATAATAACCGTGATGAGAAGAACAACTAAACTCCCTGGTTTGGTTATGGTTTCTGTCATTTCTGCCACTTTATCACATCAAATCCAGTCTGGAAACTTATCAGAATTTAAAATCCCATACCAGCATCACTTGCGTTCATGCTGCTCTGTCCTGCAGATGTCTCCAGTGCTGCTTCTGGTTCCACCGTGGACCCCTTCCTGTGTCCTCCATGTTGACCTGTTCCAACCTGTGGACCATTGGCAGAGCTGCTGATGGAGTCAGCCTGTGATTGGCCATTGCCCTGACAACAGGTCTCCTTCTCTTCCAGGAGACTGCTATTGATTGGAGGTTCAGTTTCCAGCCCAGAAGACATCAAAAGCTGCACATCTGTCAAAATAAAATTGTAAATTGAAATTCCAAAACAAATAAAAATAAAATTGTGGCATATAGAATATGCGTTCTGTGTGAATGGCTTGGTTTCGGTTTTAACCTAACCAAGATCTTCTACGCATTGAGCTACTATAATATTTCTCTAATATTCTGAATGAATAGTGCAGCAGTGGCGCGCTCATGGATTCAACTGGATAGACTAACAAAAACATGAAAACGCAACAATGACACTTACATCATCATCACCGCATCTCGTGCGCCACTGATGACGCTCCCTGATGCACTCCTAACATTCAATTGCACCATTTTTGCATTCAAATGCTAATTTTTATTTTAAATTCGACTAATATTAATTTTTATTCAGAATCTCCTCATCACAGGCAGGCACAGCACTTATTTCAGCATGTGTTCTGTTGGCTGTTTGCTTGTCACGCATAGCACGTGCCTATATCGTGCGCTATATCGAACATTTTTTCTATCGTTATCGTGAAGGGTGTACCGTCGATATATACCGATACCGTTTTATCGCCCAGGCCTACTTTAGTCTCATGTTGTGTGTAAACCTAAAGGACTATTGAGCTCTAATTGGTGTGGCAGTGACAGACAATGCACCTGTAAATGTAGCTGGCAGGAAAGTGAGCAGGATCTGCTGATGGCTGATGTATTTGGCGTAACATTTCCAGTGAGGAGATAAGCAGTCCTGCTCCGCGCCAGCTGGCTCGTCGTCTACAAGATCTGCATTACTGAAGCTCTGCCAGGAACACACACACACACACACACACACACTGTTAACAACTCTGCCAACAACAGAAGGATAAGTACACTGCCATTTGAAAGTTTGGGGTCAGTAAGATATTTTTTTTTTATGAAAGAAATTAATATTTTTAATCAGCAAAGACACATTACACGGATCAAAAGTGACAGTAAAGCATTTATAATGTTACAAAAGATTTCTATTTCAAATTAATGCTGCTCTTGAAAAAAAAAATGTATCATGGAAGCAGCACAACTTTTCAACATTGGAAAAAAAAAAATCTTGCTGACCACCAACTTTTGAACACCAGTTTGCATGTTTCACTTACATAACACAAGTAATAACTAACTCTAATGCTGAAGTGAAAGGAGTCAAACTGTTAAAGCTGTAAAAAAAGGGCTTGTGGGGTTTTTGCAGGTCAGTATTGTGAGTTATGAGCAGGGTCCAAAATGTGAGTGGAAAACAATCAGAGAAAAATATAATATACATTTATTTAATTTTTTATTATTGTATTATTGTTTTGTATTAATTTATTTTTTATATATTTTTTATAAATATTTCTAACAAGCCATGATTTTATTTTTTTTAATTGCTTTATACTGGAAATATAAAAAATAATGCAATTTTTGTGTTTTCCCCTTGCATATAAGTGATGGACAAATGTGCAGCTGTAACTAGTAAGGCATGATGCTAGCAACGGCAGGGTCATAGGTTCTATTCCCAGGCAGCATTAAACTGACGTTAAATTTTCCACTGTGGTAAAAGATGTGCGAGTTGAACACTTCAGTTTCAGCGCCGAAGGTCAGATATCATTTATGTCATATGTATTATGCTCCTGATAAAGTTACCAGGCAACTTGAAAGTAACGCCATTGGATTTTCTAGCCAAAGACTGTTTGACACACGTGTGTGGACTGGTTATGAGTGTAGTTGGGCTTTTTCAGCTGAGCTGTAGTATGACATGATGCACCTGTAGTGTGCTGGAGGAGCCCGTCACCTCTTTACTGCTTCCTATAGTGTGGAAAGAAAGAACAGTGTCCTGCCTCTCCGGAGTCTTCAAGCTCTCTTCTGAAAACACACACAGAGATGAACAAAATGAGGGACGATTAGGGGTCAGATTCTTCTTATGTAATGGCTAATGAAACAATTAAAGGTCATTTGGGATGTCTGGCATCCATAAGCGTGAAGTCTTTCAATTAGTGTGTTTTAAATCATCTACTTAGTCTAAACATCTTGTTTCTCCTTCACTGAGTGCAATGCCATTCAATTTATCAAACCCTTAGCAAGCGTAAATGAAAACAGCAAACCAACAGTGGCTGTTCTGTGCTTCCAGATTAAAACATGTTCAGGGTTTAATATAAACTCAAACAAACAAAGTAACAACTAGTTAAAAGTGATTCATTTACAATGGAAGTCTATGGGGCAAGACATTCTGAGTGTTTAAAAGCACAATCCTTCCTAAAACATGGAAGTTAACCACTACCACAACCATTATATAAAGTATAGACTACCGTTCAAAAGCTTAGGGTCGGTGTGATATTTATGTTCTTTAAAAAGCCTCTTCTGCTCACCAAGGCTGCATTTATTTGATCGAAAATTCGAAAATTTTATGAAACATTATTACAATCTAAAATAACTGTTTTCTGTCAGAAGATATTGTAAAATGTGCTACAAGCAGAGTTTTCAGCATCATTACTCCAGTCTTCAGTGTCACATGATCCTTCAGAAATCATTCTAATATGCTGCTCAAGAAACATTTCTGATTATTATCAATGTTGAAAACAGTTGTGCTGCTGAATATTTTTTGTGGAAACCGTGATTCATTTTATTTTACAAGATTCTTTGATGAATAGAAAGTTGAAACGAACAGCATTTATTTAAAACAGAAATCTTCTGTAACATTATAAATGACTTTACTGTCACTTTTGATCAGTTTAATGCAACCTTGATGAATAAAAGCATTAAGTGTGTGTTTTGGATGTATGAATGTTATAGACATTTTAGCATAAAAAAACCCCAGCCAAATCACCTTTAATGACAGGAAGTGAGAATGGAGCCACATGACCGTCTCTTTCCCGCTCTAGGATGTGATGCATGAACGCCACATGATCGCCGTCGGTCAATGGGATCTCTCGATCACTGAGCTCATTCTGCAGAGAGCTGTGGAAGAGGCTGAGGAGGAGATCGTTGGGCAGACAGGAGGCGCTACGGGAGGCGTCCGCTTGACCCTCTGTTAAAGGTCAAAGGTCAACAGGAAAACAGTTAAATAAGGCCCAGTGTTCACTGATTTGGATAAAGGAATATGAATGTAAGAAAGGATAGGGGCTTTAAACTGAAGCCCGAACCCGGCCCGTACCCGAGATCGTCTGACCCGACCCGACCCACCCGACCCGAGCGGCACAGTTAAATTTAGAGCCCAAACCCGACCCAAATCTGAATTATTATTTTTTTTTTTCACAACGAATAGCCAATTGAAAAAAAAAAAATTTTTTAAATGCTGTATTTCACGATTGCATGCAACGGTCAGTAAACAAATACATGTAAAGAAACCGATTCATCAAGGCTCGGCCAGTTCACAAGGCAAAAGAAAAAACACCTACCAGTTATGAAAGTTTATGAACATCAGGTGCAGCGGTCACATAAATTCTGCGACAAGACGATAATTCTTCCTCCGTGCAAATTATGGTCATTTTCGTCAGTTAAGTCTCGTTAGCATTCGGCCTGCTTTAAATCAGACACAGAGATGTAGTTTGGTAAGATCGCATTTATTTGAATTAATTAATTATATAATTTATTTGAATTAGCGAGCGAGAGAGAGAGTGAACCTGCGTCTGCGCATCTCTCTCTACAAGCAATGAGGCTTAGTTACTTCAAAAACAGCGATTTTACCCCCTCATTGCAGAGAAATATAACGTTGCGAGTCAGTAGCCTATCGAAGCTATTTCACTAATAAAAGTTTCTGTGCTGTGAGTGCACTGCGCGATCTCAGATATCTGTGTGCAATAATGTGTGTGTGCGTGCGTCTATGAAAGCAGCGTAGCCTACTGCATATAGTTTTAGTTTAGCTACAAACCCGGACCCGACCCGAACCCGAAGCTATTCATTAAACATAAACCCGACCTGAAACCCAAAAGTATTTCGGGACCCGTCGGGCTCGGGTCGGGTAGCAGACCTCTAGTTGGGGTGGATGGAGGATGGACTCGTACCTCGGCTGAAGGTGTAGAAGAAGAGCTCGATCTGCTGGCACTTGGGCAAGAGTTTCAGCAGGTCGAACTGGAAAGGCACAGTGTGTATGCAGTCATCAGCAGCAGCGGCGGGGAGCTCGCCTACAGCAGCAACACATCACACTGAGCATCAGATCTCATACGATTGTGTGTAAGGAGACGGGTGACGGTGCGCGTTCGTACCTGAAGCATCTCTGAGAGGACACACCTGCTCTTTATTCTGACACAGCTGGATGAGGTATTCAAAAGTGATCATCGTCATCATGCACGACAGATCACGGGGAAAGATCTGGAATGGAAAAACACACAATTCATAATCTATGACTGTCAGATCTCAGTAAAAATGCCTAAATACACCATGCAATCAAAACCCTATTTACGTTCTTACAGAATCTTCCTGGTGTTATTAGGAAGAATTCACCAATGCATTATTCTAAAGAAAAGAAACGTATATGAAATATATATAAAAAGGTTTTTGTTAGTATTTTGAATTAAATTTTACTTTTATATTTTCTGCTTTCTTTTTAATTTTAGGTATTAGTTTTAGTAATTTTGTTGTGCGATTTTGTAACTTTTATTTTTTATATCTATTATGCTTTTATTATGTTTTAGTGTTTAGTTTTTTGTTTATTTAGTTTTGGGGTTTTTTAGTACTTCAACTTAAACCAAACAAAAATGAGAAATGTTTCTTTGGTAACTAGCTGAAATGAAATAAGTTAAATTATTTTTTTTATTTATACATTAGTTTTTAATATTTTCAATACTTGAAATAATATAAACACTAACTGAAATATATATATATTTATATATATATATAAATTGTATTTCAGTTTTATTTTAGGCAACATTTCTCTTTTTTAACTTCTTGTACTAAACTAACAAAACCTAAACAAAACTCAAATTAAAATTAAGATGGTAAATATAATAAAAAACGAATTCAAAATATTAATAAAACCTGCAAATTTTTCAACGACAACAAAATTATAATGAGTCATGTAAAGCTAATATCATTACTAACCACAGTCAAGTCCCAGATTTTGTAAAATAGGTATAATTACTTGGTATCTATTATATTTATCTATGATATTTAGATTTTTTAGTTTATTTTCTGTGACATGTCACATGTAGGTGGCAGTCATGGTGTTGTGACTAACAGCCTGAGGGATCTCCTGGTAGGTGAGCTGATGAAAGTGTCTCTGCTGCTCCAGTGAGCTACAGACGGCTCCGCTCTGAGGCTCCACCCAGCACTCCGTCACCAAACTCAGCTCTGTGTCCACATCTATGGCCTCCACCTCAGTGTCATTGTCATCATCTGTGGAGAAACTGGAGACACGATGCCAAAAACAGACAGAGTCAAACCAAACGCCCATTATAAGACAATTCTGCCACAAAAAATGCCATATATATGTGTGTGTGTGTGTGTGTGTATGTATTTATTTATTTATTTTTATTTCATGCATTTATTGCTTTATTTTGAGGCTATTTATAAAAAAAAAATAATAATTTAAAGTGTTCAGATCCTGGACAATTAATGAAGGCAGATTTTCCCAATCTTATTTGTCAAATAATTTTTTTAAATTTATTTATCAAATAAAATGAGCTATTATGCTAAATATAATCAATTTCATAACATCTTCAAATGTTAATAATTTGAAATTAATTAAAACAAAAATAGTTCATTTAAAAAAACTTTTTTAATTATTTATTTCAATTATACTAAAACTTATTTAAATATTATAATTATAATGTAAATGTTCTATTGATTATAGAAGTGTGCACGGAGCTTTACAATGGTCTGTTCTAGATAATTACAGCATAGGAATCCTTCAGCTGAAGCCATCGAAGATTTTAGCAGTGAACAGACACTCCAGTTCTGGTTTGCACAGGTGTGATGAAGCGTTACCTGTCCTTAGTAGAAGTGGAATGAGGCGGGAAAAGGATGTACTGGACTATGCAGGTGTGTTTTTCTCCATTTAAATCAGCTGACGGACTCTGCATGCACAGTTGTGGCTGAAAGTTAGAGATGCATCGCCAACAAATGCTAAAACTGGGATATACTTGTGTAGAGTGTTCATACTTTCACCTGCATTGGCAGTTCTGCCACCATGTTGACGATACCCTCCCCACTGGCGGCAAAGTGGAAGCCTTCCGACAGACGAATACTGTGCAATCAAAAACAGCCATTAGGAATTTAGCAAATGCTATTGTCAGAAGTGACTTATTACAGGTCAGAGTTTCCCAAAGATGTTTAAGACTCACTCGGACAGCATTGAGAGGATATGAGCAACTGCGTGCAGCGATACAGCGGTTCCCGGGCCGTTCTGCACGGCCCAAACCCAGCGCTGGTGCAGGAAGTAGCGGGACAGAGACGCCATGGTGGAGGACGCTGTTCTGCTGGCAGCCATGCTGAGAGGGGCGCCCATGATGGGCGGCTGAGCGAACGGCTCCATGTTTAAGATGAAAGGGGTGCGGAAATCTGACGGAAGTTTCTCGTACCTGCAGCAGGATGTCAGAACAAGATTTTGACTAAATCATAAGCTTTTGAAAACCTTTTTGAAAACTTTTGAGTTACAGAGGAACTAACCGAGGAACTAACGTTACTGAGTCAATGTTTTTATTTTTAACTAAAACTTAAAAAAGAATACTAAAAATTGATATAATATTATATAAAAATTGGATTAGAAAATGAGAACTTTAAAGAAATTAAAATTCAGAATGTTGGCATGGCAGCTATCAGAAATAAAACACACTGAAGCTGAAGTACTAAAATTACTAAAAACTAAAACAAAAATAATGCTAAAAATAGAAATATTTAAAAAGTTTAAAAAAAAATAGCACAAAAAAAATCACAAAATTAAAATGAAAAATGAAATTAAAAAAACGAATAAAATGAAGTAGTCTAATAAAAATGAAAAACTTTAACTAAAAACAGAAAATATAAAAAAATAAATCAAAATATTAATAAATACTAAATTAGTCCAAAAATAATAATGAAATAACACTTATCGAAGTCTACATTAAAACAGTGTTTGCAAATCACTGTAATTTTGTAAATTGACACATTTCAAAGTAAAACATATTAAAACAAGAAAAAACAATCTTTGCATTTTAATCCAGTTTATCCATCAGGAATTTATCATAAAAGTGTCCCTACAGAGTTTAAATCTAAAAATGTAAAATATGAAAATAAAAGGGCTCAGTGTCAGCCAAAAAGGAGAGCAGTTTCAGAGACTAACATGCACCAATGAATCATTTACAATAAGGCATTTAGACAGAAAACAAGGTCAATTTTGACTTCATGTTGACTGTAGGTCTGTCATAACTTCACAAAGTTAAATTGAGATAACGGTAATGAAATCTATTATTGTTTATTGTTACGCCACAGACCTGATCAGTAGTTTTTCGAGGGGTTTGTTGAGCACCACCACACACGGCCGGTCAGACAGCGCCGGTTTGGCTGCAGGAAGAGGCGGGGATTTGGAGGGCGATGCGTTACCCAGAATCTTCCGTTTAGTTTTTGGCGTGGCCTCCTTATTCTGGACTCGATGAGGGAACCGCAGCCGTAGGATCTGCTCTCGAAGTTCATCCACAATCTACAGAGTGAGAGTCAGAAACACTCATTCTATTCCTTACAGAGCCGTTCTGAAAACAGCTTTCAATTAAACTGAACTCTAGTGTGGAAAACACCTTCACCTTGTTCCTGGTGTGTGCCAGAGTTCCTATGGGGAAGCCCAATCGCAGCACCATGCAGGGAGCTTTAGAGATCAGACGCACCAGATAGAAGGAGACAGGCGGCAACTCAGAGGCACTGTGGGAATAATGCTCGTTAAAACACTGCTAAACTGCTCCGTAAATTTGCCAAATAAACTGTGGATGAAACGGTGTTATTTTAGTATCATTGAGACACTATTATAGTTTGTATTAATATTTTGAATCAGTTTTTATTTGTATATTTTCCATTTTCATTTTAATTAAAGTTTTAGTAATTTTGTGTTTTTTGACATTTTTATTAATATTTTGAATAGGTTTTTATTAACATAATTTTATCTAATTATAATAGAAATTTTAGTACATTTATTGTGTTTTTGTCATTTTTAGTAGATTTTTAAAAATATATATATTTTAATACATCATGGTAAACTAAATTAAAAATGAGAAATGTCACCTTGGCAACTAACTGAAATAAAATGTTCAAGTTGAAGTATAAAAATTCCTAAAACTAAAGCCAAAATAAAAAATAATTAAAGCTATATAGAAATACCTTAAAAATGACCAAAGCATATAACAGAAAATACAAAAATCATAATGAAATGTAAAAATAAGCGTTAATTCAAAATATCAATAAATAATATAATAGTTAAAAAAATTATAAAATAAAATAACACAGGTCAACTAAAATGTCTGAATGTGGGAAATATATCTGAATCTAGTGTGGGAATAATGTGAATATAAATATTAGATGAAAACTTAAAAATTTGAAATGTTGTCTTGGCAACTAACTGAAATAAATAAGTTAAAGTTGAAGTATAAAAATCACTAAAACTAAAGCTGAAATAAAAATCAATTAAAGCTATATAGAAATATCTCTATATAGCAAATAACAAAAAAAAATAATGAAAATGTAAAACATTTAAATAAAAGCTCATTCAAAATATAAATAAATAATATAACAGTTGAAGGCTACTAAAATAACACTGGTCACCTAAAAATGTCTAAATGTGGGAGAAATGTCTAAATAATGCTTGTTAAAGCACTGCTAAATTACTCTGTAATTTGGCAACTGAACTACACACGCACCTGTAAATAAGTTTGACGTATGAGTATCCCTCCACCAGGACGAAACTGCTCCAGTCCCTGAGCAGCGAGGTGAGCGCCGAGTGAGAGATGCGACACTGGATGGTACTGAAGCGACCGTTACTGCCAGCGTTGTGCACGTGCTTTGGGACCGGGCTGAACAGAGAGACACACAGCAAAACAGAGTCAGGAAAACAGTTTACAGCCATTGGGATTTAAAGAACACTGACATTTTCATACCAACTCAAATTAAAATTTTTGAAGTAGCTTTCCCAACACTAGCAGGACTACGCTATATTAACCACTGAACAATCCAGGCTGTGTTCACTCACACGTCATGCTCCAGAAGGATAGCGATGTGATGCATGTGCAGCCAGCGCTGCCAGAAGTTGGCGTCCATGGACAGGATGGGCTTCCAGTAGGAGGCAAACTGGGATTGGCTGGAGTCTTTAGAGCCACTGTGCTGGAGGGAGAGGACCTGATGGAGAACAGGATTGTGTTTAGCATGTTAATATCACCAAAACACAACAAAAATATGAAGCTTAATGTACTACACTACTGTTTATGTAATTTAAGAGACGCTTTTTTCCCCACCGTTTGGGTTCAGTATGATTTTTAAATGTTTTTGAAAGACTTCTCTTCTGCTCATGAGGGCTGCACTTATTTGATCAAAAATACCGTAAAAACAGTAAAATTGTGAAATATTATTATAATTCCAAATGGCTGTTTTCTATGTGAATATGTTGTGAAATGTAATTTATTCCTGTGATCTAATCTGAATTTTCAGCATCATTACTCCAGTCTTCAGTGTCACATGATCTTCAGAAATCATTCTAATATGCTGATTTGCTGCTCGAGAAACATTTCTGATTATTATCAATGTTGAAAACAGTTGTGCTGCTTTATATATTTGTGGAAACTTATTTTTATTTTTCAGGATTCTTTGATGAATAGAATGTTTATTTGAAACAGAAATCTTTTGTAACATTATAAATGTCTTTGCTGTCACTTTTGATCAATTGAATGCATCCTTGGTGAAAACAAATCCGGCTGGCCCCAAACTTTTGGACTTTGTAGTTTTGCGCTAACACTCACCGGTGTGGTGGATCCAGGTGGGATGTAAAACAGAGGAACCCCATTTTTCGTGCTTTCGGGGATGGTGTAGTGTTCTGGGATGGAATTAAAGGACTGCAGGTGCACCAACATCTGGTCTGTCTGATTTATGCTGTTGAGGAGAAGCAATATACAGCATTACTCTACATCATCAAACTAAAACCGACAGCAGAGTATCTAAAATCATTCAAGATAAGACCTCTGCAGTGTGTTCCAGAAGCGGCGGATGACAGACGTCCGATAGGGGCTTGTGATTGGTTTCCTCATGGTGCAGCTGATGTCATGGAGGATGTCGTAGCTGCCCTCTATGGTCACCTCCACCCAGGTGGTGCTTTTGACTGGATTCAGGGGCCAGGACGCCACGGCGAGGTACTCAACACGCATGTTATGCTTCCAGAGGAGGACCAGCTTCACCTCCAGCTGACTTCCTCCTTATACAGACAGATTAGATGATTATTTCCAAATCCCAATAAGCTGCATTAAACGCAAAGATGGTGTCATTTATATATGATCATTACAGAAGCATATTTGAACACCTGACCTTATGAGGTTGAAGTACCTTTAGTGATGTTGATCTCTCGGATGGTGTATCCCTCTCGCAGTCTGATGGACAGGACACTGATCAAGTCAGCGTGCACTTCCTTCTCCGTGTGTTTCTTCCTGCGCATCACTAAGGCGGGGTTTCCACTGGCCGACACCAGGTGTTCATTAAAGAGCCTGTGCTGGGAGACTACAAACACACAGATGAGCCATTACACCGCTGTTTACATCGCATTATGCAAAACCTAATAATAATAAAAATAAATTCATATAAATATGTATACGGTCGCACTTTATTTTAAGGACCAATTCTCACTATAAAAGAACTATTAACTACCACTTTTGCCTCAATAAACTCCTAATTTGCTGCTAATTAATTATTAGTAAACCCGCTTAGGTTGTTAAGTTTAGATACGGTGTGGGATTAAGGGATCTAAAATATGATCATGCAAAATAAGGCATTAATATGTGCTTTATAAGTACTAATAAACAGCCAATATGCTAGTAATATAAAAACAGCAAGAAATTTTACTATATATGGTCACTTTGCATACCAACCAATCAAATCCTAGCTGTATGTAGATGTTTTAAAAGTGAAATTTAAATCAGTTGTGGTTCCCTGCAGTCAGATGCTTCATTTCACAAATGATTTAGCAACTTCAAATGAGGATCATATGACATATGAACTAACTTTTGACCAACCTCATGAGCTTTTATGAAATTGCCTTTAATGCCAAATGAACTAAGCTTTACTGTGAGGCAGAACTGAAAGTGCACAGACAGGGCTGATATACTGAGCGCTGAGAGCTCTGGGATTGATTTCTTTGTATGTGTGGTGAATTAACAGAGTGTTTTAAATGAACAGAGCAATCCTCTCTTTGACATTTTCAAGGACTCAAACATCTCTGAATACTTCCCATACTTCTCTGTGTTTCTCAGATCTCATAAAAAAAACAGAAACTGTGTAATCCCTGATATCTACATTAATCTACATCTTAAGTAATGTATTTGGACACTTTTGTCACACTCAGTGCTGTTACTGTTAACTAAAACTGTTAATAATTATTTTAGTAATTGAAAAATAGCTAAAATAAAATAAAATATGAATATTACATTTAATTAAAAAAACTTAGAAAAAACTAAAGAAAATTAGAAATGTCGCCTTGGCAATTAACTGAAAAAAAAATAAAGCTATACAGAAATAATATTAAAACTACTGAATACTGAAAATAAAATAGAAGCCAATTTAAAGTATTAATAAGTATTACAATAGTATAAACAAACCTAAAACACTGGTCACTTAATGTCTGAATGTTATTGTATTACTTTAAAAAAAATATGAAATCAAGTGGCTATTATTTCAAAGATACTGCAGGCACATTTCACAAGGAAAACCATGGACAGTTTGAAATGCTAAAACAATCAGCCTAGTGTTGAAAATGAGAGTCATTATTGTGTTTGTTTGTGGTTAGTGTATGATGTTGATGGTTCTCTACACCTGTGGTTCCTCTGCTAGGACAAACTGTGTGAACCTGAGGAGAGATGACTTCCTACAGACACTAAAAATGACCAAAACAGCAGCTACAGCATACAGATTTGATCTTCAGACACTGTTTAGGTGTGTCAGTGTTGAGCTTACGGCAGTAGTACTCTGGGTTCATGGACTCGCCGGTCCTCAGGAAGGAGTATGTGAGGAAAGCGCGATGGTAAGCGTTCATCTCATCGCCTCTAGAGTCAGACTCTGGACACATGGACAGGTAGGAGCCAAAGGTTGCCATGGAGATGAACTTCATCAGCTCCACGTTGGGGATGTAGCCAAAACTACAGTCGTAGGAGTAAGCGCCGCCCACCTGAGGGAAACGCATCAAAATACAAATAAATGCTATGCTTTATAACAGACAACATTTCAGACCTGTTACAAACATACTGCATTTACACTACAATTCAAAAGTTTGAGATCAGTAAGATTTATTTTGAAAGAAATTAATATTTTATTCATCAAGGATTCATTAAACTGATTTATAATTTTACAAAAGATTTGCATTTTAAATAAATGCTGTTCTTCTGAAACTTTTATTCATCAAATAATCCTGAAAAATAAAATGCATCACAGTTTCCACAAAATCATGAAGCAGCACATCATTGATAATAATCAGAAATGTTTCTTGAGCAGCAAATCAGCATATTAGAATGATTTCTGAAGGATCACGTGACACTGAAGACTGGAGTAATGATGCTGAAAATTCAGTTTTGCATAACCGGAATAAATTACATTTTTAAATATATTGAAATTGAAAACAGCTATTTCAAATTCTAATAATATTTCACAATAATACTGATTTTACTGTACTGTTATCAAATAAATGCAGCCTTGGTGAGCAGAAGAGACTTCTTTCAAAAACACTAAAAAATCTTACTGACCTTAAACATTTGTAAATAGCATTATTTCTAATATTTGTGGCAGGTAGAGTGAAATGTCAAATGGATCTGAGCAGCACCTGGACAAACGAACAGGCAATGGTTCCACTTCTCAGCTGGTTCAGTAGTGTTTCACACACAGCTACATCAGGAACACTCGTCACTCCATCTGTGATGATTATTATTCCTGCAAACCAACACAAAAGACTACTAACTACACAAGCACTTTATTTACAATCATTTCTGCACTTATTATAATGCCAACTTAGACAGGAAGAGACCACATGACTGACCAATCACAGTTTGTTTTGGTCTTGCGTGCCATTTAGCCATAGGTTAAAGCCACTAACACTAAACTATGTTAATGTAGTAACTAGCTCTTCTTTAAAAGCACAGTGGGACAAAGGATGCACTTACCAGCACCAGAGTTTGGAGGCAGGAGTTGCAGAGCGAGAATGCCCTGCCTCACCATACTGACCAGCCCAACATCAGCCGTCACCATGGAAACCCCTGGCTTCCTCTGAGACAGTTCCTCCATTGCATCATTAGAGAAGGACTGATAGACAGATCCACTGAACTGAAGAACAAACAAACATACAAACATGTTTTCTAACGGAACATTTCAAGTTCAAAAGTTTGGGGACGGTAAGATTCTTTCATGTTTCTGAAAGAAGTCTCTTCTGTTCACCAAGGCTGCATTTATTTGATCGAAAAGACAGCAAAAGCAGTAATATTCTGAAATATTATTACAATTTTTAATTCTCTTTGAATATATTTAAAAATGTAATTTATTCCTGTAATGCAAAGCTTCATTTTTTTTTTCAGCATATCATAATCATTACTCCAGGCTTCAGTGTCACATGATCTTCAGAAATCATTCTAATATGCTGATTTGCTGCTCAAGAAACATTTCTGATTATTATCAATGTTGAAAACAGATGTGCTGCTTCATATTTTTGTGGAAACCGTGACACGTTTTATGTTTCAGGATTCTTTGATGAACAGAAAAGAACAGCATTTATTTGAAATAGAAATATTTTATATTTTACATAATTCAATAGAAATATTTTATTATAACATCATAGACGTTTTTACTGTCCATTTAATAAATTCTTGCTGAATAAAACTGATTTCTTTAAAAAAAAAAAAAAACTTTTGAACAGCAGTATATGACAAGACAGAATAAAATTATTAAACAAAATACATTATTAACATTATTTAAGCAACAACCTATGACAGATTGTGCTGAATTATTGCAGTATATCACTAAACATTGGTGTCTTTTATCATATTGTTGTAGCTCCCATTTTATGAAAACAATAATCCTCTAGTGGTTGTGCATTACAGTGATTTTATCATGGTTAAGAAGCTCATTTTCTGAACCATTATAAAATGCTGTCATCATTTACTCACCATCAATTTGTTCCAGACCTTTACGAATTTCTTTTATTCTTCAAAACAGCCTCTTTTGTGCTCAACAGAAGAAACTCATACAGGTTTGGAACAAGTGGAGGGTGATTAAATGATGCCAGAATTTTTATAATTAGTTGAACTATCCATTTAATTTTAGTAAAATTGCTGTACTGCAATGCAATATGGCTTCTTTCTGCATACTGATTTATTGTCAGTATTAAAACCACAAGCGAGCTGCTCTTGCCTGATTGTGCTGCTGCTGTAGGACGTCAGCGATGCTGCTCTCCACGGCTCTCAGCTGCTGATAGATCTGATGCAAGAACTGCTCCAAATCCATACAGTCCAGCTGACAGCCCTGAACCAACACCTGACAGGCAGAGTCATGGGATATATCACTGATCAGAAAAAAAAAAACAGCCAGCTAATGCACAGTCATAGATCCACAAAGACCTGAGATCCAGACCTGATGAGAACTAAGGCCAATGATGGAGGAATACGCCAGAATAGTGATGAAGATCTCTGGCTGGAACACGTGATCCGTTCCTGGGACTTTAAAGGGTTTTGCCAGACCAATCAAGCACCGAGACAGAGCGTGGAAGACTTCATCAAAGATCATCTCTCCTGTGCTGTCATCCTGAAAACAGACAGCATATGACTTTGCACTCTTCAAACAAGGGCTACACATTATTTTAAGGTGTCCTTGTTACAGTGTAATTATACGCTGAAGTACTATTTAGTAAGTAATATTACTATTGATGTTATAATAGAGTAATATTTATTAACTACATGTACTTACCATATGGTTAGGATTAGGGTTTGGCTTAGGGTTACTTGCATGTAATAATGCATAATTAATTGCTATTATAATAGTAATTACATGTAACATGTGTAACAAGGACACCTTGAAATAAAGGGTAACCAAAACAAGTCACTGAATGTGATGACGATGATGGTCTCGTACCACGATCCCGGTGGACGGGCTCAGGTCCAGCTCGATGATGAAGCGGTACCTGCGCGCCAGGAAGGTGACGTGTGTGGAGGGAACCAGCAGACACGGGCAGGACGAGGAAGGAGAGTCGGGCTGCCATCCTTTCGGGAGGACGCTCAAAACATCCAGCTCGTTCTCTGACTTCAGCTGACGGACACACACAGACACAGAGATGGGATACAGTGTCATGTGATCCATGAAGATCTGAACTGATGCGATTCAGCACAAAAACTGAACAACAAAACTGCTGTTGTTCCAGTACAGGCCTTCAAGGTAAAGAAGGAAGGCCTGAGACATGCATTTAAGGATAATTAAACAAAGAAAGAATATATTAAAGCAGGACGGTTAATTGACTGTCATTTGGCCATTTAAGGATTATTACATTAGCTAGTAATCATGTCTGCTTGGACAATTAACAGGAGTTGCTCCATTCTGAGTAAATATTATGTAAAATAAGCATTTCATTTCATGCAATCTCCTTTTCTGTCATTAAAATGAGTGCTGTCAAACAATTAATTGCGATTAATCACATCCAAAATAAACGTTTTTGTTTACATAATATATGTGTGTGTACGGTGTGTATTTATTATGTATATATATAAATACACACTCATACAGTATATATTTTAACATTTAAAAATGTATATTTATTTAACTGATATTATATATAAATATATTTAATATAGAAATATAACATATTTTTCTTAAATATATACATGCATGTGTTTGTATTTATATATACATAATAAATATACACAGTACATTATGTACACAAAAACTTTTATTTTGGGTGCGATTAATCGCAATTAATCATTTGACAGCACTAATTAAAATAAATGTGCATTACCATTTAAAGCTCTGGGGTCAGTAAGACTTTTTTTAAAGAAACTAAAACTTTTATTCGGCAAGGATGCATTAAATTGATCAAAAGTGTTGGAAAAAGGCACTTTTGGACTTTCTAAAAAAGAAAAAAAATCACGATTTCTTAAGCAGCAAATCAGCATATTAGAATGATTTCTGAAGATCATGTGACACTGAAGACTGGAGTAATGATGCTGAAAATTCAGCTTTGATCATAGAAATAAATTACATTTTAACATATATTCACATAGAAAACAGTTATTTTAAACTGTCAAAATATTTCACAATATTACTGTATTTTTGATCAAATAAATGCAGCCTTGGTGAGTAGAAGAGGCTTCGGTCAAAAACCTGCAAGCCCCAGACTTTTGGACAATAGTTTATCAGAATGAAATCACCTACGAATCACCCTTTTCTCGAGATCATTGGTCTCAAACTCAATTCCTGGGCCATAGCTCTGCACAGTTTAGCTCCAACCCTAATCAAACACACCTGATCCAGCGAATCAGTGTCTTCAGCATCACTAGAAACTTCCAAGCAGGTGTGATTTGGAGCTGGTTGGTGCTAAACTCTGCAGAGCTGTGGCCCTCCAGGAATTGCGTTTGAGACCACTGTTCTAGATATTCACAGAGCCATTAGTCGATTACAGAATCAAACCAAACCCGCTCTCTCTCACCAGCTCAGACAGAGGACTGGGCCGAACGGCCTGATTGAGCCGGTTGAGGAACCAGGACAGACGCACGTTGCGTGAAATCCTGTACTCCTCTTTCATCAGCAGGTACACCTGCTCAGCCTCCTCCACCTTCAGAGAGAAAAACAGCAGAAAACAGCCAACATGGGAACAAGCACTTGCATGTCAATACAGGAGCAGATTCCTGGATAGAAAGCTGGTCTTTGGTTCTTGCTTTTTTGACAGATACACGGACAACATTAATCCTGATGATGTTGAATGTGTTGTAGTTACGCTGTACAGCAAATGTTCACCATCTAACTTCAGTTTCACATATACAACATCATTAAGATAATAAAAAATAAAGGTCCTTTTACATGTTTACAAATACACAGGCTAAAAAGAAAATATTGTACGTGTGTATAAAAGTACCTTACAAAATAATTTAACACACAAATGCTACTTATATGTTTGTTTGTTTGCATTTTTCTAAATTAATAGTGGCCCAGGATTCTTAGTTATCCTTCCAGAAACAAGTAAAAAGTAGTATAGAGCTAAGCAAAAAACACCAAACAAAGAAACACAATTGTTTATCATACAAAATAAAATAAAATCAAGAACAATAGTTTGACTGTCAATAGCTTGAGTGTTGAAAGACACTGCAGTGTTTATAACAATTTATATCCACTGCTGGACAATTTCAAAAAGCTTCAGCTACATTTGAAGAAGAATCGATTTAACTAACGTTACATGCAGTGTGTCCACATTTAATTTCACTGAAGTATATGAAGAGCATGTTGTTGTTGTTGTCTGAGGGAGGGGCTGCAGACTCATGACAGAACTGCATTAAACTGATTTACTTCCAACCTACGCCTTAAACCTCTCCCAAATATCTCTTATTTAGTTAACAGGTTAGAAAAAGGCATTCGGTGCAGGAATAACAGAATAAAAGTCTCACAGGTTTCCTAAAATCGACGGATTTTCTCCTGTTCTGTTTATTTGCTCTGCTACTTAAGCAGTAAACAATTCCGACGGAACTGAACAAAACAAACAAACTCGGTCCAAACAAGAGTTTAGTTTACCTCCTTGTCCTGTCTGTCTGCCATGCCGTGCTTCTCATTACTGGCAGGTTGACTTTGAGCGCGTTTTAGAGGCTTTGTGTGTCAATAAACTGCAGTTCATCTGACTGCAGCCGCTTCACTTCCTGTTCCCGAATTCAAAATAAAAGCCCTCATATACGTTTATAAATACACAGAGAAAATGTTATATTCGCATTAATTATAATATGATTGTTTTTAATGTAAATCTAACTTATTAAATACATTTCGAGAGAAAAGTTGAAATGCAAATTTATGTATTATTCCTAATGAGTTTGTTTAACGTTAGTCCCATGTGCTTAGACGTATTTTGGACTTCATCTTTGGCACACAGACATCAACTGGAAATATCAAAAGTTGAGATCTTAGTCTACATTTTCTTCTGATAATTAAATTCGAGCAAACAGACTACAATACTTGTCTCAAAAGGATGCGGCGATTCTATTTACAACTAACGTTATATATTAGAAAAGTTTAGGAACCGTTCTCTCGGGCGCGTTTTGAAAGCCGGACTCCTTTTGCTGCTGCAAGTGTTTGTTTACTTCCGCTTTGTTGTGCCGTTTGGTCAGTAGCTTTGAAATGCAGGTAAATTGTTAAATGTTTTTACTTTAAGTTTATTTTTACAGCTTTTTCATAAAAACTCACTTACAATTAATGACGCAAGCACGCATGCAGTTTGCGAAAATAGACCTTTTTTGTGTTTGCGTATAGAATGCTGGCATGCTCTAAACTGCAGGAAACAAATGTAGCATTATTGTTATTTATTAGGTCAAATAAGAGCTGATGGTGGTGTGTTTGTGTTTTATTTCGACAGCAGCGGGAGGAGAAGCAGCTGGAGGCGTCTCTGGAGTCTCTGCACGCTCGCGTGGCTCATCTCAAAGGTTCCCTGCATCCCTAGTTGTTGCTTATAAGAGTATTTGCATACATAATTACTTAATTTTATTTTATTTGCTACTTTATTTTGGTTGATTTGTATATTTTACTCCCCAAAAAAAAAAAATTTCACCTTTTTTCACATTCGTTTTTGATCATGAAAATCAATGTAACTATTTTTCTTAAGACCATTTAGCCTTTTCTAATAATAATGATGCTGAAAATTCAGCTTTGATCACAGCAATAAATTGCTTTTTAAATATTACAATAGTAAACAGGTATTTTTTCACACCTGTTCATTACTGTTTTTGCTGTATTTTTGAAATAAATGCAGCTTTGGTGAGCAGAAGAGACTTCTTTAAAAACAAAACATATTACTGGCCACAAACTTTTGAATGGTAGTGTATCTTCATAAAGAATAATTTAAATTATTTTTTAATATGCTTATTTAATATTTTTTTTTTAGTGTTCATATTGCAAATACCACCAAAGTCACCATTCCAATAAAAAATGTAAAAACTGTATTTTTTTTTGTTTTTAATGACCGAAGACCACCTAAGGATTAACCTTTAAACTAACATTGACACTGCTGTAAACACATTTTAAATGTGAAATGTATAAAGGCTGGTTGTTGAATTCTGTTCTGTTATCTTTTTAGAAACAGATCCAAACACTGAATAAACTTTGCTCAAATCTTTTGGAAAAGCTGAATAATCCTCGTGACGACAGAGACTCTGAAACCTCAGGTAGGTTAACCGTTGATCCTAGTTTAATATTTGCAGATTTGTCATGTGTGCAAAGCCATTGATGTTAAATAGATGTTTCTCTTCAGCTTTGAGACAAAACAAGCCATCCTTCAATCCCGCCGACACAAACGCTCTGGTGGCAGCGGTGGGGTTCGGAAAGGGTCTCTCGAAATGCAGACCACCCGGATCTGCCCCTCCTGGTCACCCTGGACAGCCGATGATGTCAACAGGTCCCACACTACAGCAGGTCACAATCGCTGGGACCACGGGCCATCAGGCCGGCATGGGAGGACAGGTCGCCCAACAGCAGCCTGGACAACCTGGTACCACATTTAATAACATTCACAAACACATTTACGCACAAAAGCACCATGTATCATGCTCCTGCAATGATTTAATTCTACACGTTCTATTTGAACAGGTAAAATGCCCAGCAACATCAAGAATAACATCAAGTCTGCATCCATGCATCCTTACAACCGATGAGTTTCGTTCAGAAATGCTGCGTTTTGTGATGCGACGTTTGGTATATGAAGCCAAAAAGCTCATTTGTTTTGTGCATTTTCAATAAAATAATTTGTTGAAATCGTGTGTTATCAAATTTCCTTTTGCCACATCAGATTTCAAAGAAATAAGTTCAAATGTAGTACTGAGAAACACAACAGAGACACTGCAGTGAAAGGAGCACTAGACGTCCTAAACATAGAGGTCTATTTCAGTCACTAGGTGGCGATGTTGGCTTTTTGTTGAATGTGTGTCCGAGGGCTAAGTGCACTGCCATTCAAGTTTGGTATAATAACTAATACTGAAGTATAGCTAGTACTTGTATTCATCAAGGATGCAGTAAACTGATCAAAAGTCACAGTAAAGACATTTATAATGTTACAAAAAGTTTATTTTTTAAATAAATGCTGTTCTTTTGAACTTTCTAATTATCGAAGAATTATGGAAAATAAAATGCATCATGGCATCATGTTTCTTGAGCAGCAAATCACCATATTAGAATGATTTCTGAAGATCATGTGACACTGAAGACTGGAGAGAGAGAACTACAGATCTTTCCTGATAAACTCGCAATGGATCTGTCACTATATGTTTTGAATTCAGGCCCTCAGTGCTGGATAATTTCGCCCTTCTGTCCGGGCAGCTGAACACCATCAATAAGGTGTTAAAAAACGAGAAGACCCCATCCTACAGGTCCCAGGTCATCATCCCCCTGCTGCTGTCTGAATGATGCTGAAAATTCAGCTTTGATCACAGGAATAAATTGCTTTTTAAATATTACAATAGTAAACAGTTTTTGCTGTATTTTTGAAATAAATGCAGCTTTGGTGAGCAGAAGAGACTTCTTTAAAAAAATTTAAACATATTACTGGCCCCAAACTTTTGAATGGTAGTGTATATTATATAGAATAATTTAATTTTCATTATTACACGGCCCTGTGGAATACTTGATTCTGATTGGTCAGTCGTGACATTCCGAGGTATGTTATCCCTCGATAACAGACCCCATCCTACAGGTCCCAGGTCATCATCCCCCTGCTGCTGTCTCCTGATCGATAGATGAAGAGCTGGTGGTGAGTGTATTCACCGAGTCACTGCTTATGACAGCATCACTGGCTTTTTAAGATGCTGCTACTTCTGTTACAGAAACTAACAGAGCAGCGGGTGCCTGTGTTCAGCCATGAGATTGTGCCGGATCATCTCAGGACCAAACCTGACCCGGAGGTGGAGGAACAGGAGAAACACCTGAGCGCCGAAGCGGCCCGGATCGGACCTGAAGTAGCTCAGGTAAACGAATCCACGAGGGTTCTTTACTTGACTTAACCGAGCAACACCGTAGCAACCATCTAGCAAGGCCTAAATCCCTGTCTCCAGATGATAAAGGTATTCAGACTAAATGAGCCTTCTGTAACCCTCTGGTACACCCTTCTGATTGTCAGTGCTCAAAACAGACCGAAAACAATAACTGTTTTTTTTTTTTAATGAAATGAATGTACTATTTTTTGATTATTACACGGCTCTGTGGAATACTTGATTCTGATTGGTCAGTCGTGACATTCCGAGGTATGTTATCCCTCGATAACTACCGGTAAAAGCTAATAACATAGGCTCATCCTGGTAACAGCAGTCGGCACTGTACTCTTGAACTATTTTTTCTTGTTGGAAGCTTTCCGTTCAAATATTATTTAATCTCAAATCAATATTTCGCATCTAATTATTTACTTATGTGGCAAGTAGCCGTGTAATAAGCGGGATAATGTACATCTGGTGGTGAGTGTATTCACCGAGTCACTGCTTATGACAGCATCACTGGCTTTTTAAGATGCTGCTACTTCTGTTACAGAAACTAACAGAGCAGCGGGTGCCTGTGTTCAGCCATGAGATTGTGCCGGATCATCTCAGGACCAAACCTGACCCGGAGGTGGAGGAACAGGAGAAACACCTGAGCGCCGAAGCGGCCCGGATCGGACCTGAAGTAGCTCAGGTAAACAAACACACGAGCCTTCTTTACCTGACTTAACAAAGCAACACCTTAGCAACCATCTAGCAAGGCCTAAATCAAATCCCTGTCTTCAGAAGACACAGGTATTCAGACAAAAATGAGGCTTCTGGAACCTTCAGGTATACCCTTGTGATTGTTGGTGTTTAAAACAGATCGAAAAACAATGTGTAAACTTTTTTTTTTCTTAATGAAATTAATGTATTGCATTTTCATTAAATAATATTTATTCTTTAAAATTTTGTCTTTCGTGGTACTAGACAATATTCACATCTATTAACCATTTATTTCTATATTATTTCTATATAATCATTTTTATATAATTTGTATATAACACAAATATTAGAAAAATTTTTTACTTTTTTATTTTATATAGTGGGAAATAAAGCAAGAGTATTTAAATGTGCATATAGTTATCCCTCGATAACTACCGGTAAAAGCTAATAACATAGGCTCATCCTGGTAACAGCAGTCGGCACTGTACTCTTGAACTATTTTTTCTTGTTGGAAGCTTTCCGTTCAAATATTATTTAATCTCAAATCAATATTTCGCATCTAATTATTTACTTATGTGGCAAGTAGCCGTGTAATAAGCGGGATAATGTACATCCAGCCAGTTGTTATCTCAGAATAAACCCCTTCAGGCTGATACAAGACCCCTCCTTTATTCTGCGATAACAACCGGCTGGATGTAGACATTATCCCTTACTTAATTTTTAATATGCTTAGTTAATTATTTAAATTTTCCATTTTCATTACAAGTTTAAATGTTGACTTGGAAGCTTATCTTTCACAATTTCAATATTTAATGTTCCTCATTGAGGAGATAAATGTTAAGAGTACTGACAAATGTGCACTCTTTTGTTTCATTCTAGCCTTCTTGCTTGGTTTTTCAGTTCATATGAATGTCTTAGTGATCGCAGATGAACATTAAACTTCTGTTCATAGCCTCAATAACAAAAAAAATTACTAAAAGGTGCTGGTGTAGTACCATTGACGTTTGGACATGTATCATGGTTTTCTATTTATCATGATAATCGTGCACACACTGTACAATAGAAAACAGAAATCTATTTGCTCGATCATCACACACTTTAGGACCATTTTTCTTTGAACCCCACTGACTGTTACCCGTGACACATGAACCTGACAGCAGCAGCGCTGATCCCAGGACATCACACACCTTCAGCATCACCTCACACCGCGCAGGTGTTTAATGGTAAATCTGCAAGTGAAAATGAAAGTGGTTTGGGACCCATTTGAGCCAATTAGCACATCAGGAGCATTGGCGGGTGATACAAGAACCTTCTCAGCGGATTCCTAAATGTAATCACATTCCTAGATGCGCACATAAATTAGGTATAAAATTTCAGTTCCCTTTTGTGTTCTGAAGGTGTTAATGAATACATAAGAGGAAATAATTGCTGAGAATGAACTGATTCAACTTTTTTGTCTCACCAATTCAGACAGCATCTGCAAATATTTACCATTAAACATGGAAGAACTGTAATAGTAAATGTCAAAATATAGCAGTTTGCAATAGCATGTATAGCAATTGCTAAATCTTTTATTTTGGTTCTTTGAAATGGACGCTTTCATTATTAGGAGACTTGATATCAGATGACATGATGGATGTAGTTAAAGGCACAGCTCGCTCAGAAATTAACATTCTGTCATCTGCCAGTTTCTGCTCCCCGTGGCCTTCCATAGTATGGAAAGCTTTGATTTAGAGTTTGTATTGATCAAGATGCATTGCTCTTGAAATTGTGTTCTGGTTCCAGGTCACTTTTTGATCAGTTCAAGTGCTCAAATGAACTTCAGTGGATTCATGTGGCCAAAAACACAAGGCAAACTGTTGAGTGCAACTGGGATCTGGATTTAAACCCCAGTTCATCCATATGAATGTTTGTTTTAATGAGCCAATCAAAATCATGCCGGTGGATGTATAGCAGGAGTTAGAAGCAATTATCATGCATTTTATTTAGTGATTTAACTGGAATGGAGAGCAGGTCCCAGATGAGCAATAGAGACTAGAGCTGTGCACTCATTTGACTGCAGTAAACATGCACCTAGCAACCACTCATAACACCCTAGCAATGAGTTACAACCATGCAGAACGCCTCTGCATTTCAGTATAACCATCAGACCAATGCACTTAAAACCAGTGGTAAATATAAGCAGACGATTCTTGGACATTTTGCTCTAAATTACATACACCCATACTGAAAATGCAACTTTTGAAGCAGTTATGCGTATTAAAAAATGTAAAGAATGCAAAGAATGTTTGCGGTGTGAGAATGTGTGCAGTTTAAATTGTACAACTAAATGTCTAATAAAACTACACTGCAAAGGTGGCAGTGGCACAGAAGTGCTTCTGATGTGGCATTTAGCCGTCTTTAGACTAATTGATGCTGTTGGCATAAATGCATTGAGTAACTGCACCTTTATATAGTACTGATACTAGCGGCTGAGGTGGATCAGAGCAGGCATCATTTGCTTCTCCATCTTTTTAAATTTGATTAATGTCATTCGCAATGCATCATGGGATTGTAGTTCTTTGCCTCACTAAAGCCATTAAATACATACTCTTATACCTTTGTCTTTTTGTTCGTTTTTTGCTTCAGATAAAAGTTGGTACTGTTGTGATTGCTGGTTGACTCAGTTCATTATAGTGCTTTAACAAAGACTTTTTAAAATCCCTATGGAAAAAATGAATGGAAAATAAAAATGCTTCCAGGGGCCAGTTGCATAAACATAGATACTATGTTAAGTCTGTGTCTTAAGAAATATTTTGACCATCTATCAGTTAGCCAAGAGATAATCAATCTCACTTTTCTGATTAAAATTGGGCCAATTTATATTTTTGTAACTGACTTGAAACAGTTATGACCAGACTACATGAAAACAAATGAGAAGGCTAACTTTTTAGGACCAGTCTAAGCAGTTTATGCAACCGACCCCAGAAGCAGTGCCGCTGAAAAAGTAGGAGGCACTAATGCACTCTATTGTGTTGGCAAATATTGTATGGGCAAACGCCACTTCAGAATATGTTTTAAAAAGTTATAATAACAACAAATAAAATA